CCCAGGCGCTCTTTGTCTGGCGTGGGGGTGGGGAGCTGCGCCTGGCCCCGGGAGCTTCCTGGCCTCTGCCAACCCCTCCGCTCCTGCACACTGCGCTCATTGTCTGAGATGCTTGAGACGGCCTGCGCGGACGTGGTCCCTGTGTCCCGGTCCCTGTGTCTGCAGGAAGGAGTGGCCACGAGTGGAACTCGGGGCTCTCCCGCCAACTCTCCCCAGGGCCAGACACCCCCACAGCATCGAATCGGGGGCTGGCCTTGGCACAGAATCGGAGTCACCCTCCACTCTACGGGTGACGGGAAAGTCAGGCTTTGAGCTGTGGCTCTGCTCCCCGCAACCACGCGGGGCGGCTTCTCTTTCTCCCCCCTCGCCCTTGGTCCCTCAAAACCTAAGCGCTGTAACATCACACGGGAGGACGGGGAGCCTTAGACCCTGTGCTCGGAAGCACTGCCCCTCACAGGTGGGGAAACTGAGGCTCAGAGAGGGAAGGGCTGTGTCTGAGGTCACACTGCCAGGAGCGGCACAGCGGGCTCCTGGTCCTGGAGGGAAGACAGAGAGGGAGGCGAGGAACAGTGACAAAGCAGCAAGGGAAGAGGGCAGGAGGTGTGCAGAGGACACAGGGTTGCGGCCAGCACACCCTCTGCCAGGGTGCTGGAGTCTTCGAAACTCCTTGGCCGTGAAGCGCTGTGCGTGACACACGCCGCAGTCTCAGCCCTGGAGCCTTCCCGAGCTCAGAGAAGTGTCACGGCCTGCGGCGGTTGGGATTGGAACCCAGGTCTGAGACTGCTACTCAGACCACACTCACTGCCACATCAGAAGGCTCAGGAAACTGGGGTTCAGCCGATGTGGTGAGGGGTTCAGGGGAGCACCTGCCCTGCCCGTTCTCGCGTTGCCCGCTGTACGGCCTCGGCTGCCGTGGACAGAGGTCGCAGACGTGCGCGCAGCGTGTCCCCATCCTGAGCAACACGTCCCGGTAGCACAGGCATCTCCTCTCCCCACGTGGCATGCGTGGAAACAGGCTCAGAGTGGCACGGTGCTCAGCCCTCTTCAGGGTCCAAGTCCACGTTTCCTTCGTGGCTGCCTGAGCTTGAGCGCAGCCCGGGCCCCAGTGGGGACATCTTAGGCTGGCTGCGACCTAGGAAGCTCTCTCGGTCCTGGACGGAGGAGCGACAGTGGCTGGCTCCATGCTGCTTCTGTGCTGTGACCTGGGTCCCCCCTCCCGCCCACGGCCCGGGGCTCGGCTCCAGGGTCCTCCCCGCTCCATCAGCCTGAGCTCCTGAACTTCCTTCCTCCCTGCCCCTCCCCTCGCCCACACACGCGAGCAGCTGGTCGGTTTGGCCAGCCTGGCACCAGCTGTCCATCCCCGGGGCCAAGTCTGCGGAGCCCGCTGTGTGCGTGAGAGAGACCGGTGGCTCTGGGGGCGGCAGGCGGGCAGCTGCCGAGGAGGACTAGGTAAATTCTCCATGGTTACCGCTGTTTGTCATTCTGCAGGATATCCTCTACCCGCGAATGGCCACTGGGACGCCATTGTGGGCCTGCATGCTCCCAGCCACGGACTCCCACCCGCGTCCAGGAGGCTGTGTCTCGAGCTGGGCCCTGCTTTGTCCCTGACTGCCAGGCCCAGGCGGTGTCCCTGAATGTTGCACCCCACGTGTGGGGCCGTCTCCCTCTTCTCTTGAGGTGCAGAGACCTGGGGGAGTAGACTGTCCCCTCTTTGGGAACGGGGTGACAGAAGCTCAGGGAGGTTGAGGGGCTTGTCTGCGGGCACACGGAGAGGCTGTGATATTCTCGACTCCTGTTCTGTGTCCAGTGTGCCGGGGTTGGGTCTCAGGTCCTCCAAGGCCTTCCCCGCCCTCACCCATCGAGGCCAGTGAGATCCGGGTACTAGGGGCGGAAAGGCTTCTCTGCGGTGGGGGCCCTCGGCCTGGTGAGCGCCAGCTTCTGGAGTAGGCGGGCTCTTGTGGCGATGATGTGGCCCTAGGTTATCCGTCTCTAGGGAGCAGGACACGGGAAGGGCACAGACAGGTATGAGGCCGGGAATAGCAGTGACTGTCCCCTTGGGGACCAGCCCTCCTGCGTGGAAGGCTACCGGGCGGGCTGGAGTCCTGTGATGACCGGCGTCTGCCATGTCTTTCGTCCACACGCTCGCCTCAGTCCTCCCGGCTGGTGTCAGGGCCATGGCTGGTCGAACTGGAGGTCAAGAGCAGGGCTCTCTGTCCTGCCGCAGTTGGTGCTTGGGTCTGGGTGGGGGACTGTCGCAGGACCTAGAGTCCTTGTCTTGGGTACCCCTGGACAAGGTGCTGAGACTCCTGACCCCTCTCTCCTCCCCTGTAGCTGGGAGCGTCCACTCGCCTTCTACCAGTATGGCGACGTCCTCGCAGTACCGCCAGCTGCTGAGTGACTACGGGCCACCATCTCTAGGCTACACCCAGGTACGGCAGTCGGGGTGAGGGCACGGCGGGAGGGGCCTTGGGACCCGGGCTCTGAGGGAGACGGGCTCCCTGCCTTCAGGGGTCGGGAGGAAGGGTGGGATGGAACTGTCACCTGTGCATCCTCAACCCGAGGCCCTGGCTTGGCTCCTGTCAAGACGGGGGACATCAGCGTGGCAGGGCGACGAGGGCTGCGCTTCGCGGGGACACCCCGAGGTGGGGGGCAGGGAGGGCATGAGGAAAGGGCTGCAGCCCCAGAGCTGCAGGTGCTGCTGGGACCACAGCCCAGGTGCCTCTCAGGCAGTCTCCTTGCTCCTCTTCCTGGGTGCAAAAGGTCTGACCTTGACCTTGTGTCTCTAAGCTGGGACAGGGGCCCCCGCTGTTCCTCTCCCTACTTGTGCCCGGATGAGCCATTTCTTGGTGGAGACAAGATGCGTCTCCCCGAGGGTCAGTCTTACGAGCGAGGCTGTCCCCTGGGCCACCACTTGCCAGACTGTGACCCCCACTCGGTAACCTCCCGAAGACTCGGTTTCCTCTCGCAAGGGGGAATCTTCCTAGCTGCCTCACGAGCAGGGGAACAGCAGGCTGGGGCCAGCTACCCTCCAGCCGCACCCTGCCTCCACGAGGGACATGCCGCCCCTGGGGCAGGCCCAGGCCCTCCAAGCTGGTCATCAGCTAGAAGCTTCTCCCCTGGGCCAGGCGCAGCGTGAGTGTTCTGAGGTTGCCATGGAGGCCGTTCCTCGGCCGAGCGGTCAACTTCCCGGCCATGCCCCGCCAGGCCGTCCTCTCCCAGGAGGAGAAGCTGGCGCGGGCCCGGGAGCGGGACCGGCTGAAGAAGCGGCGGCGGCGGGAGGATGGGCTGAGGCGCAGCCTGGAGCGCCAGCGCAACACTCTGGCCGGGCGGCGGCAGCGCCGCCGGGAGCGGCAGGAGGACCGGGAGGCCGGGAGGCGGTGCCGCCCGGAGGCCGGGCAGCCAGACAAGGACAGGCAGACGGAGCACGAGGCCCGGGGACAGAGGCGGCCGAGGAGGGAGGAGGCAGCGCGGGCCTTGCTGGGGGAGCTGGCCACCCTGGTGCTGCCCGGGGACTCGGTCAAGGAGCAGGAGGAGGAAGAGAGGCCCGAGCATGCAGCCTGGGCCTGCGGGCCCCTGGGGACTGCCGCCTCGCTGATATGGGTGCTTGCTGGGGCGCGCTTGGCAGTGGTGGGAAGAAGGGTTTTCCGTGGGTGGCCCTGCAGGCGGGAGGATGGGTGAAGGGACACATCCCAGGCTCCCCGGCCCTGGGGGATTGTTGCCGTCCTGCCGGCCCGGGTCTGGCCTCCATCTCACTGCGCGCTCGGGACTCAGCCCTTGGGACGTGCTTTCTCGTCCATCCAGGTCCAGGGGAACGCCCTGGGAACTCGTTTTTGCCAAGACAAGCCAGCTCCTCTGTGTTTTTCATTCGAGCTTCCTGGAGTCTGTGGGGTGGTTTCCTTCAGTGTGGGCGAATGGGAGAGTGAGGGCCAGCCTCCTAACCGATAGTTGTCGCTCTGAACGGGAGGTGGCTCGTCCTAGCTGAGGCGGGCAGTCTTGGGGGTCTGAGGCTACCTGCTTTCTTTCCACCGACCCGCCCTGGACTCGGAGCTTTCTACCCCACTGCCCAGGTGTGGGGTCCTGACCGTGGCATTGGGGTCGGGTTGGGCTCCAGCCATGTGAATCCATTCCTTTCTGACCCTAGGGAACTGGAAGCAGCCAGGTGCCCCAGAGCAAATACGCGGAGCTGCTGGCCATCATCGAAGAACTGGGAAAGGAGATCAGACCCACGTACGCCGGCAGCAAGAGCGCCATGGAGAGGCTAAAACGTGGTACGCCATGACCCAGCTGCCCTGCAGGCGACCCTACAGCACTGGCCTGGCAACTGGGAGAACACCAGAGGCGGGGTGGGGAGGGGGTCCTCGACTGGGGCTTTTTATTTATTTTTATTTTTAAAGAGGTAGGGTACAGGGCCGAGCGTGGTGGCTCACGTCTGTCATCCCAGCACTTCGGGAGGCCAAGGCGAGAGGATTGCCTGAGCCCAAGGGTTCGAGACCCGCCTGGGCAACTTGGCGAGACCGTGTCTCTACAATAAATCAAAAAATTATCCGGGCGTGGTGGTATAGCTGTAGTTCCAGCTACTTGGAAGGTTGAGGCGGAAAGATCGCCTGAGCCCAGTAGTTTGAGGCTGCGGTGGCTGTGAGCATGCCACTGCCCTCCAGCCTGGGCAACAGAGTGAGACTCCAACTCAAAAATAAATAAATGAATGAAGATATGGGGTATATGGTTCAGGATTAGGTATACAAGTGGTCATCGTACAGGTGAAGTTTGGGCCTCCCTTTGGTCCCCACTTTGCCTAGTTTGAGATCAGGTACCTTATTGATGTTGTCCTCCACTCAGCCCCTAGGACTCCTGTTTTTACAGAATTGCTGTCTGATGTGGAGGCATCAGGTGGGGCAAGTGGGGTCTGGTGGTTTGGGAAGGGCCTTGGAGGCTGGAGATCTTCAGGTGGGGCTTCTGGGAAGGGCAGCCCCCGCCAGCACATCCCCCTCACCCTTGCGTGCCGTCCGAGGCCCTGCCAGCTCTTAGGGAAGCTCCGTAGCCCCCAGGCCCCACAGCTCTGCTGCCTGCTCCCATCCTGTGGGGAGCAGCAAGAAGCCGGATACAGCTAGCTCTCTTCCCTGGGTGGCTGGAACCGTGGCCTGGGGCCCAGGGCTCATTAGTGCCTGTACTGCTCTTTGTCACCTCTTGGGCGTAGGGGTCCATCCTAGGGTCTGCAAAGGGAGAGTGAGAGCACTTTTAAGTTCTCTGATTTGAAGAGGGGAGGTGGGTGTGAGGAGGACGTCACAGAACACAAGGGGCTCACACACGTTAGGGTGTGACTGACCAGCTGGGTTCAGGACGTTCCATCGGTGGCTAAGAGGGGACTGGAGAAGAGAATGTCTATTTCAGGTGGCAGTTCAGCAGAGCTGTGGCCATGAGCTCATTTAGAATGAGGGACTTGGGTTCTTAAGAAGGCAACTTTGGGCTGGGCTCGGTGGCTCAGCCTGTAATTCCAGCGCTTTGGGAGGCCGAGGTGAGTGGATTGCCTGAGCCTGCGGGTTCCAGACCCGCCCGGGCAACTTGGCGAGACCTCATCTCTACAATAAATCAAAAATTAGCCAGGTGTGGTAGCGTGTGCCTGTAGTTCCAGCTACTTGGAAGGCTGAGTGGAAGGATCGCCGGAGCCCAGCAGGTCGAGGCTGCGGTGGCTGGGAGCGTGCCACGGCCCTCCGGTCTGGGCGATGGAGTGAGACTCCAACTCAAAAAAAAAAGGCAACTTCGGAAAAAAAGGAGCGAACATTCTTTGGTTAGAAATTTTGGGCATAAGTTGGGGCTGCTGTGGGGGGTCTTGATGCCCCGGCAATGCTCCAGCTGAGGACAGGCTGCCACCCAGAGGAGAGTCTTTCTGGTGTTCAGGAAACCTTGAAGAGGCTGACTACTGACCAAGCTGGGCTGGGTACACACAGGGTTGGGCTTGGCCGAGTCAGAGGCTGTGACTGCAGAGCGCCTGAGGAAGGATGCAGAGCCCATCTCTGATCTAGCCTGGAGTCAAGTGGGCTTTGCCCTGGTAACTGGAGTGCTTGCTGCCCCAGTGGAAATTCCTGAGAAGCTTCTGGACCCCAGTGTTTACCAGATGATTTGCAGTCACCCCCAAAAAGGCAGTGGGTTCATGTCAACAAGTCGATATACTTAGTGACCACTCCTGGATGAGCTGCTGGTTCCACAGTAGCAAGGAGGACCTAATGCCATACTGGCCAACAGCCAGGCCCAGGCTAACCAAGCTCATGTCACAGCAAGGTGAAAACAGGTCGTAGGGAGCGGGGGTGTTGGGAGCATCGTGGGTAGGTTGGCAAACGACAGCCCGTGAGCCAAGAGTGGTTTTTATAGTTATAATGCTTGAAAGAAATATGATTTTGGGACACATGAAAATTATGTGAAATTCAGACTTCGGTGTCCATAAATAAAGATATGTGGGAACATGGCCACACCCATGGTTTACATATTGGCTGTGGCTGCTTTCACGATACGACAGCTGAGTGGAGTAGCTGTGATAGGGACTGTTGCCTGAAAAGCCCAGAATACCTGCTGTCTGGCCCTCACAGAAAAGTATTTTCAGCCCCTAAGATAGATTGTAAGATCTGTGAGGTGGTAATATGGGGGTGTCGTTCCCAGTGGCCTCTAGGAGTCCTACAGTAGAAGGAATAGACTTCTTGGTGTTTGTTAAACTGAGACCAATGCTTCATGAGGTTCTGAAAAGGCAAAAAGGAAAAAACAAATGGTGACCGCCACACCTTAGGGACAAAAGCTGGGGGGACTCGTAGGGCAGAGGTAGCTTAGGAGGATGTCCCAGAGGACCCAAGCTCAACATGCAGGAGCAGTGCCCCTCATGTGCAGGCCAGAGCATTCTCTTGACCAGTCTCTTGACACTGGTCAGGCCCTTTCTAGAATTTAGACTGAAGAGGCCAGAGAAAAATCTTTACAATGGGACAAGCTTAAGAACTCAGGTGGAGGCACGTTTATTCTCATCAGCCAACAGAATGTTACCCAAGGAGAGCTTGCTGGGGCCACCTGGAGTGCAGGACATTTCTGGGGATACAGGAAGAGCTTTGTCTGGGAGGGAAGGGCTTTGAGAGGCAGGAAGGAATTTGTTAGTGCCTTGAGGGTTGTTTGGATATATTGTCCTCTGAGTCCCCTTCCAGTCCGAGGGTTTCGTGGCCAGGCTGTAAAAGGATTGCCCTTCTTCCTGTTCAGGAGTGGAGTGGGTCGGCCGGCGGATCCTATGAACCAGATGATCCTGGCCTCTGCTTCTCTTTCAGGCATCATTCACGCTAGAGGACTGGTTCGGGAGTGCTTGGCAGAAACGGAACGGAATGCCAGATCCTAGCGGCTGTAGTTTTGAAGGTTCTTTCTTTCTACAAGATGAGAAGTTACAATTCATCTCCCCTGTTCAGATGAAACTCTTGTTTTCAAGATGGTAACAGTTTGGTTTTTCTCTCATGGTTCACTTGGCTCCGAACCTACAGTCTCAAAGATTGAGAAAAGATTTTGCAGTTAATTGGGATTTGCATTTTAAGTAGTTAGGAACTACCCAGGTTTTTTTTTTTAAGCATTGATTTAAGAGATGCACGAAGCGATCTTATAGCAAACTGTAGTTTGCCTCCAAGACACCAGTGTCTCCCTTTAATCTTTTCTTTTGAGCACACTTATGTTACCCACGTTGTTCTTTGTTCCTCTTCATAAGCTAATACAGCTCTAGGGGTTTTGTTTTTAATGCATACTGACAGCACGCTTTACTTAGTAGCCGCTCCATTTGCCATACAATGTAGATTCTACCTAATGTAACTTCTTTTTTGCTTAAGCGTTTGCATGACTATTAGTGCTTTGAAGTCAGTTTTTTAAATGCACAAGTTATAAATACAAAAGGAAGAGCAGCCTACCAAACTTAACAAGGACCCTCGAAAACTTTCATACTAAGACTGTGAGTAGATTTCAGTTCTGCGTTTACTGTAAGTTGATCAAAACATCTGGAAGAAAATGACTAAAACTGTTTGCATCTTTGTATGTATTTATTACTTGATGTAATAAAGCTTATTTTCATTAACAATTTGTATTAAAATGTGGGTTCCTTGAATTCTTAAGTGCTATCTTAAAACAGCTCCTCAGTGACAGATAGGAAATACCTGTCAAAAGCTGTTTTCTCACCTAGCCCAGAAACATTGTGTGTGGTGATATTGTTAGCACAGCTGGCTGGGGAAGGAATGTATTTGCTAAGTCTGAGATAGAAAGTGTTCCTCTGTCCACAGCTCCAAATTTTCCTTCCCACTATTACTGGTTTCTTGTATATTATTATTATTATTATTATTTTGAGTTGGAGTCTCACTCTTTCACCCAGACTGGAGTGCAGTGGCCACTCCCGGCCACCGCAGCCTCACCTGCTGGGCTCCGGCGATCCTTCCACCTCAGCCTT